GGTAGGGGGGGGGGGGCCTACTACTACTACCACCACTACTACTACTAGTGCAACTGCTAGTCGCGCTCCCACTGCTACTACTACTACTACTACTACTACGACGACTACTACTACTACGAGGACTACTGCTGCTATTGCTGCAACTACTCCTGCTGGTGGGAGGAGGAGGAGGAGTAGGTAAATGAAAAGCCCTTGCAGCTTGCACGATTGAGTCCTGATTGCAAGGCTCCAAAGAGGCAAAGAAAACTGTTTGAACAGCATCCCGGCAAGGGAGCGACAAACCTTGACTAGAGACAAGAGCAGGCATTGTTTGTGAAGTGTAGCCTACCCCGCATCCACTTGCACACCCTCCCCCAAACTCACCACACATTTCAGCATGCACGGAAGCTAGAGACGCTATGTGCCGCAAGCTGGCTCCTGAAGATGAAATTTGCAAGGAAGCGCCCATAATTCAATCGCCCCTTCCAGCCATGTGTGGCAAGGCATATCTTCAACAGGTTCTCCAGATAGAAGACAATGAGCATGCTACAATGTGGCATTATAGGGGTTATATGGGGGATGTATTGGGATAATGGAAAAGAAAATGGGAACTACGATATTATAATAGGGTATATATCCGGGTTATGTACTCTGTGCTTCTTGGAGGTTCGCAGCTTAGGCAGTAGCCGTACTCTGCTTGCACCGGTACTGTGGGCTCCACCGTCTCAGCCTTAGTCTATGGAAGCATTTGGGGGTTTCCCAAATTAGGGGTACCTTTTTGGAGATCCCTGGATTACAGTATTTTGGGGTCTATTCGGGTCCCCCTATTTTGGGAATCTACCATTTTGGGTTTGAAACGGGTGGCAAGGTTTAAGGTTTGGGGGGGTGCGGTTTTCGAGGAGCTATGGTTATGGATGGTTTGATTGGCTTCGCCCTCGCCCTGGACACGTCCCTCATTTTAACCCAGGGACCCGCCCCTTGTCAAGAGAAACGACCTCCTTTTTGAGACAGATCCCAGTGGTCTTGATTTCGCGGGCTCTCGTGACTTCGAGTCACGAACTGCCTGTCATTTCAATACCAATCTTGCCCAGAGCACTTGCATGCATACTGCTCAAAAGGTTGCGAAGCAGTCTTTCCAGACTTGCGTGACAACCCTGGGCTGATTCTTCAAGTTCAACGGATCCAGGGTTATAAGCCCTGCAAACAGCCTCATGTGGGAGCTGAAGCAGCCCACAATGTCCAATCTTAATTGCTGGAACAACTGACAAGTTTCGACTCCAAGGTCTCCGTCCCCAGTTCACCATAAAGCCTATATACTACTGTATAAGGCATAAGGGGGGTCTCCTAGAAGTAGGGGTAGATAGCATTTGGGGGTCTACATTGGCGTTCCCCCCATTGTGGGAAACCACAATAAATCCCATCCTCAGCCTTTGACTTTTTGCTGTTCAGGCTAACCCATCCAACGGTGTCGTCGGCCAATGCCCGGCCCTGCCCATAGGCACAGATGCAAGCTTTCAAGAGTATGTGACAAAGCTTGGGCGTGCTTCGAGAGCTTTAAAATCAACAGCACATTCCTGGGATACGAGAAATAAGCAAAGCAAGCTTGATTGCCATACTGCCAGCTGCCCATGCTTAACCAAGTCATTTGCAGAGGATGTTAGAGCTGAGCCCCACCGTCCACTGGTGCACTTGTAAGTTTGCAGATCGAGTGCAGAGACTTTGCTGCGCTGTTCTGGCCAAAATTATGAGCTCAGAGGGGCCCAGGCAATTGCAACAGCATGACTTACCTCCAAGAGCCCACCCTTATACCTTGGTCTTCACACAGCCAGAGAGTCTTCGAATCAACAAGATCAACAGAAGCCGTCACTCTGAGGACAAGTACCCAAACGTAAGCCCTAAACTTGCATCACCCTCAATCCTGACCCTTAACCCCAAAACAGTCAACACAACCCAAAGCGGGAAATCCCATGAACTCCCACGGCCTTCAGCCGCTGCTTAGCTTCGATCACTTCCTCTTTGGGACCCTCCAGGACCTTTGGAGCAAAACATCTTTGCACTCTCGTGGTTAAGTGTCATTCAGGGTTCACGGTCCACAGGTTATTGTTTTAAGCTCGGGGCGCCTTTCGTGTTGGGTTGGCGCAGCTAAATATGTCGAAGCTTGAACTGCACGTATGGAACTTGCATCGTCTTAGATCATCTTACAAATCGTACATGGAGTTCCCAAAAGGTTCAAAATAAGCGAATGAACAAAGAGCATTCATCCAATGCCACTCCCCCACATACAGGCACAACAGATGACTTGCAGAAAATACTTCGAAATCTCCCGATCACCCTCACTCCATGCTCTCCGATCCCTGTAAAAAAAGGCTGTGAATCAAAACACCGTGTTGTCACGGCACCCTCCCCCCCACCCCCTGTTGCATACCCCTTTGTCGCGGCCTGTTGTTACATACCTTTGTCGCGAATGCTTAGCGCAAGTATGCCCTACAAAAGAACCTTGTCGCAAAGGTGCTTGTCGCAAGCCAGGAGATTCTGTTACAAACCTATGTCGCGGAATGGCCGCCGACGCCTGTTACAAACGCCATGTTTTTGATTTACAGCCATATGGGATAGGGCCATGTTGAAACATGTTGCAATCATTCCACATGCGGGGCCCCGACTGCTACTACCAATTAATCGTTACGCACTTACTGTCTTGAACATGATGATGAGGAGGCGGAGGAGGGGAGTCACCACTTCGACCCACTGGGTGAGTTCGAAAAGTAAATGAAGGATGCATTTTGCGGGGCCGTATCATATGACAAGGCTTCGGCATTACTGGGGTCTATAGGGGGGGTGCCCATTTCTGGAAGCTCCTAGAATACCATAAGATACTATAATATACCATAACATACCATAATATTGCATATAGCATAATATAGCATAATATACCATCTTTTAGAAGCTCCTAGAATGCCATGGCGGGCACGCCTCAATCGCCTCGTCCTTGGCTAGTGTTCGGACGGGAGCACCGCCTCGGCGGGGGGAGGAAGAAGGTTCGGGTCTGTTTAGGGGGGTTAAGGTCCAGGGTTGAAGGTTGAGGGCCGAAGATTCAATTTTTTTCCTGGGCCCTAGGGTTGGTGCTTTCAAGCTTAAGCTTGAGGTGCAGGATTTGTGTCACGGATCTTGTGCTGAATCGTGGCCACCTTACCACGCCTTCCCGTTGGTAACATACAGATTGAGTGTCTGGTAGTTTTCACCCCTTTTCAGTCACAATGCCATGTCCCCAGAACATCCAAGCCTGAACCACAATTGAGTGAATTTATGCTCCACAGCATCTCGTCCATCTCCCAGCGTATCCATGTCCCGGAGCCTGAACCGTGATGCCAAACATGAACAAGTTCGTCCATATTCTCCAAAGGCATCCATGCTCTGCACCCAGAGTCCAGAGCATTCATTCAGGAACCAGACCTGACATGTTTGCGTCTCTGAAGCTTTGAATCCGCTTGTCGACGAAGATCGCACAGGCGACGTATGGTTTTGAGAGACCCGCTGTTTCTGGCTGAAGACACTTTGAACCCTCAGACAATCCTTTAATCATTAGGCCACTAGGCATTGAGCACCCACGCAACCTGCATTACGAACCTACATGGGGCATATGTAGGTCCTTCTCTCTTAAGACACAATCCAACCAAGATGTGCCTGAGCCAATCTCTGAGTTAGCAGCCTTCCGAGCTAAAGGTCGTCTGCAGAGGCACCTTTCTCATCCCGGATGCAAGTTAACACCACAACACTGCTCATGAGAGCACTTTCAATGAGGGTCAGGGAGGACCTGGCCCCAGTCTTTCACTAACACCAATCCCAAGCGCATGGAGAGTCACCTAACAAAAGCCAGCCCGAGGAGCCATTTTGTCCACTCACACTTGCCGGAGACGTCGCATGCTCACGCTCAAGCTGGACTGCTGGTTACATCATAAGCTGTGTGACGAGAGCGGACGCCTCGTGCAGGACGGTGTACAGTGAAGGAGCTTCCTGGCAGACAGTGAGGAACATGAGATGGGAATCAACCTAGACAGGGGCCTTGAGGTCCTGTGGTCAACATCCTTTGAGGTGCTTTAGCGAACAAGAACATGCAAGCAACGCCTGAACACTTGAAATGATAACGAAAAGGAGCAGATGCAATCCCGTTGCAGATGTCTGCGGGATTGTACTTCCAACTACACTGGCTCCAATGTTGGCACCGTAGCATGCAAGTAAGCTCTCTAGAACCTACCCGAATCTTATCACGGTTGGCCTACCACACGCCTCCGCGTACACGGTCCCAGCGTTGCCCTTGACGGTCACCCATCCCTCCAAAGAGTCCTGGCGGCCGTGGCTTTCAAGCAAGCAAAGATTTTGCCAACAGGGCTTCTCTCAAACGGGGAATCAGTATCTGGACCTTACTATACTAGCAACCCGTATGAAAAGACTCCTGCACTACTCTGCAACGTCGTGTGGAAATCGCCACATGCCCGCAAACTAAATCTGAAGTGCTGGGTTGCAGGTGAATCTGGGCGTGCACCTAAACTTCAGTTGCTTCACAATAAAGAAATCAGGATCCAGAAGACATGCATCCCAAAGTAGGATTACACGTTCTCAATCTAGAATACCTAGAACTCTGCTGGCTTGGAAACCTTTCTAGCTGCCTTGCTCGCGACCGCCTTGATGCGTGACACGCTGGAGTCCTGACTTGCAGCACCGAGTTGGGTCATAATGGTTCAGCGACGATTCGCTGTTTTGGATGGTTGGGTTTGGGGAGCGGGGGTGCAACAGTTAGTCTCATATAGGGCAGCTTGCAGGGTCTCGTTTTAGTCAGTAGGTCTTCAGGACGGCGACGTGGGCATACCTTGGGAAGTCCGCAGATGAACAATAACCCGAGGAAATAAGAACGTCCGACATAATGGTGTCCTGACAGAGTTATTTCAGGAATGCCCTGGACGCTCTGTTGAACTGGACACTAGAATGAATAGATGGAGATTCATTTGCTTTCGGGATCCCTTTCGAGGCTTGGATAGGCATCATTCTGGCAATCTTGCATAACCGGACGTGCGATTTCACGAAGCAATCTTGCAGGGTCCTTGTCGATCTCTGGGCCTTCCAGAACTCGGACGACTTCACCGACCTCCAGCTTTCTCAGGACCTGCAGGGCATGGGGGGTCTCTAGAAGCCCCACCTCGTTGCTCTGGCTGTTAGCCACTGTCACCATCAACTAGAGGGGCAATGTTCTACACCCGTTTACAAGCCCAAGAGAGCCCCTGCCGGCCTTGCATGTCTTGATATTCTGGTTGTCAGTCATCGCAATGGCTGTCTTGCAGGTGAAGTGCCTCCATGTTTTAGGTCGTGCAGTACTACATGATGTGCAAGGAAGTGATAATCAAGCTCAATATAGAAAAACAGCTTATCTGTTTGCAATAGTGGGTTGCAAGACCAGTGATGATGGTAGAAGGCGTAGTTCAGACCTGTGTGTTGGAAAAAGCGGACAGGGACGGGACTGACACTCCACTCAGATTCCAGATGGCGACAGTTACAACCATCACCGGAATGCAAAAGCAGAAGAGGCTGCGGTAGCCTTACCCTGGGGCTCTAAGTCTTTACATAATACCTACATCGGGCCCCAAACCCTATAAATGGTACCTACATGGAGCCTTAGGGTTACTGGAACAATCACGACCACAACGGCAAAGAACGGAACAAGTACAAGAGAGATTGATATGCTTGCGGCTTGACACTACAACTCGAACGCCTCTAGGTTGCGATTGCCAGCTGCTATAAGCCCATGATGTAGTTGCAAATGATCAGAAGATCAACCAGCAGCCCTCTTCCAAGGAGATACCAGGATCTTGGGAACTGGATCCAGGGTGAGAGTTGGGGCTAGAATGATTGCCAATAATGGAGAATCAAATGGACAAGAAATTGACAATGAAACGGAAACTGGGTGTATACCAGGGTTTATATAGGCGGGTGAGTTACAAGGAATACGCCGCGAACTCTAGACCTAAACCCTAAACCAATATCATGATGTTGCCAGGGCCCAGGCTTATGCCTGCCCTGGTCGGCATGAGCCCCAGCTGCACCCGTGAGGGTGATCCAGCCCTGGGCATCATCCTTGGAAAGGGCTTAGGATGGATTATTCATGATTAATTATTCTTCACAAAAAGAAACATGCAACGCCAAGGTGCCGTACAAACCCAGATAGAATCTTTCGGGGGGTAGTTTTCAGGAGCTTCCTGGGCAATGGCAAAGAATCTGGCAAATGTCCAAAACAGTTATGAAGGTGTTGGTCAGTTCTAAGGGCAGAGTTGATGATGCAGGGCATAGGATGCTGCATCATTGATTGGTCACTTGATCCTTCTTGGGAAGCCATGGACCCTTTTGGATATACAAATGTGGTGGCTTCCCCAAAATTAAGGTACCCAAACGTAGACCCCAATATACTATCGTCCTTATTATAGGGAGCCTCAAGAAAGTACCCCTAAATTTGGGAAAGCAACATGTCTTGTTCTTGGGGAGCAGGCTCCAACTTCCTGTAACATCATGATTCCGCTGCCTGATGATGCTTGTGCCATCCCGCCTAACACCAAGAGCATACAAACCACAAAAACTGGATGCAAGGGGCGGGGTGGGTGCATAACTAAGGGTTCCCCAATACAGACCTTAATACGCCATAATCCTTATCATCATAAAGACTCCCCAGAAAAACGCCTGAATCCTATAAACCGCTATTATGACCATTTGATTCGCCATTGGGGGCCCTGCATGTCCCAAACCCGAACATTAAACACGAAATCCCATATATCACGCAGATCAATCTGTGGCCATCGCCGAACAGGCCCGGCAGCGTGCGCGTATGCGAGGCTCACTACTTTCCTCCAGCAGTGCAGATGCGGTTTCGGGTTGAGGGTTTAGGATTTAAGATTTACGGCTTAGGGTTTTTAGGATTTTTTTGCAGCGCAGGGATTAGGGTTTAGGGTTCAAGCATACCTGTAACAACAGCATGAACGTGATCACTGCTACTATTACACTCACTGTTGATGCTATTCGTGTTGCCACTATACCTACTGTTGGAAGTTGAGCCACACAGCCGTATCACCAACGGTTGCAACCATCATCGTTAGCATTGTTGTTGTTCTTTACTACGCAGTTCTGATTTCGTTGTTGGCATGATGTTGCCGCGTAGCATCATGAAGAAGAACTAATCAGCAGATGAAAATCAAAAAATATTATGTAAGTGATGTTCCTGTGGAAAGCTAAGCTTACTCAACTGTGAACCCCAATGTCCCTGGTGCACTCACAGCCTAAGTGGATGATCAACGTGAAGCCCGGCTGCTACAACCCACCTGGGCTCTGACAAAAAGTTGGAGCAAATCCAATGCAGAACTGCTGATTTTCCTGAAAGCAGCTCTGGTTGCATGAATGGCGGATCGGAATCCATTGAAAACCCAGTTCTGTCAAACTTGGCAGCTTGTGTCGCAGAGTCAGACTCTTCCCAGAATTGGCAGCTAGCCTTGGATTAAACTGATGGCCTGATACTGGCTGGTGGTTCAAGGATTTGCAGGAGCAAGCAGGTGAATCTTAAGGCTCACGGCGACGATGTAAAACACCCTGCCATACTCTCTCATTTGTTCTCACTGACTGTATCCCTCCCTGAAACACAGAGTGGAGAGTTCTTTTCGCAGGAACACCTCCCAAAGATGCATGCTTCAAAGCCGTCACACCTCACCTTGAATCAGTCCCGATGTAATCCTCACGTACTTCCTATTTAAGTTCTCCTTCCCTGTATAAATCGCTCATGTCCCCACACGCCGTCCTTCCGAGGCCCCTCTAACACTTCCAAGACCTCCTCGGCCTGCAGTTGCTCGCTGGTCTAAGTCTAGGGTTTGGCAAAGTCAGGGAGGAATTTTGAGTAATACTCCTTGCAAGTAATGTCTATAAGGCAGGGGAAATGTACCCCTACAAAGGGGTGAGCAAAGGTAAACTTTCGTGTTTAATCCCTGTGGAAAACCTTTGACCCCGTAGGCACTAGTAAGGTCAGCAAAACTACTAGTAGTAAGGACGGTAGGAGTGAAGCGCGTCCTGTTCTTGGGAACAAGAGATACCCTATTCAATGTTCCCATTTTTCAGCATTCCTGTATAACCCCAAAGTACCAATATGGCCAGTTTTTGCCATCATTGCGATAAAACGGCAGGGCTCTCCAGTGCGCACTCCTTTTTATCTCCAGTGCGCACTGCAAAAAAAGCTCTCCAGTGCGCACTCCTCACATTTTGAGTTTTTTGGTTTTAGGTGGTTTTTAGGGCCTTAGGTGGTTTTTATGGTTTAAGGTTTTTTGGGTTTAGGGTTTTTAGGGTTTGGGTTTTTCGGGTTTAGGTGGTTTTTAGGGATTAGGGCTTTTAGGGTTTAGGGTTTTTAGGTTTGGGGTTTTTAAGCTTTAGGTGGTTCTATGGTTCTAATTTTTTAAAGGGTTTTACGGGTTTTACGATTTAGGGTTTTTGGGGTTTAGGGTTTTAGGGTTTAGGATTTTTTTTAGGGTTTAGGGGTTTTTAGGGTTTTGGGTTTTCAGGGTTTGGGGTTTTTAGGGTTTAGGGCTTTCAGGGTTTGAGGTGCTTAGGGTTTAGGTGGTTCTATGGTTTGAACTTTCTTTAAAGGATTTCTTGAGGGTTTTACGGTTTAGGGTTTTAGGGTTTAGGGTTTTTAGGGTTTAGGCGGTTTTTAGGGTTTAGGGTTTTTGGGGTATAGGGTCTTTAGGGTT